ACTCCGACACCCACAGCCACATCGAGGCTGGCATCAGAGACCGGTAACTGGGCAACAGAGGACTGGGTAGTAACACTGTCCACAGTAACACCTTCCGACAGGTCTGGGACCGCCAACGGGGGAAAGTCCTCCTCCCTGAAAAGGTTTACAGGCCCGACCCGGCTCGCATCACATCCCGCAGCCTGATGGCCCGAGAGTCCGCACCGGAAACACGTCCGGGGCTGACCCCCATAGAACACGCGTACCATGAAGCCCAGAAGCTGGAGGGACGAAGGGATGGAGTCCTTCAAGCGCAACGCCACAGTGCGGGTCCCATTCGGGATACCCTTCCACCGCCTGTAGGAGACTGCATTCATTCGGACACTCAAGACCCGCCCATACCGGTTAAAATGACGCTGGAGAAGAGTCAGGGAACTCAAAGGGAGCACCATGAACCACCACATAGGTAGTCTCACTGCACCTGTCCGACACTATCACCGAACCACCACCCTCAGGCAGAGTAAATGTCCTCCCGTCATAGCGTTCCACAAAGTCATGATACACAGCCGTAGAGCAGAATTTCACAACAGCTCGATGCTCGGATACAAGTTGAACGCCGCACACAGACGCCACATCCACCCGCAACATGTCAATCATCATCACCTCTTCTTCTTCTTCTTGAGAATAGGTGCAGTTTGCATGAAGGGGTAACCCTCTCGATGACTGCACCAGGACAGATGTAAGGAGACGCGTTGATGGTAAAGAGGAGAAGAAAGTCAAAAGCGGTAGACGTGATGGGCCGTAGAGAGAGGAGTGGCGACGAAAACAGAGGCGAACGTCAGAGGGAGACTCCCCGCACCGGGGGGCGGGGCGTCATGGTCACGGTGGCAGCTGATCCAGGCACGGCGTAGCGGTGCGCGCAAGACGGGAACTAATATTTCTCCGGAAACTTACGGTACGCAAAGCGCAAGCGGTACGCTTCCCAAACCACCCACAGGTCGGCGGGCAGCCGGCCATCAGGCTGTACCCTCGGCTGAGACATCCTATCCGGCACCCTATAAACAAACTCCTTCTTTGACGACACCCAGATGGTTGACGAGCACCACGGGATCGGAAGCACCCGGGCATCCCGATAAGGGCCCAACTCCGGACCCTCACAGGGCACGACCCCAGCAGACGGGACTAGGCAACCCCCAGACCGGGGCAAGGAAGGAGGGGGAACTGCAGGCGCAGCAGCGACCCCACCACAGGGCACAGGAGCCGAGGCTCCCTGGCGCACATCTTTCCGCAACTTCACGACGAGGTCCCGACCATCAGGGACCTCGTCGGGTCCCTGATGTTGGGACCCGGCCGGCGGTCACCACGTAACTCCATCACCACCTCAACTGTTGGGTCCCCACTGCGGGGACCCAACAGCAGGAGACGCAGGAGGGGGGGGGGACAGGGAGCAACGTCGGAGCCCCTCACAGCACCATCATCCTCGGCGGGGGACGCCAGCTGAGCACCATACTCCCCCACCTCCTCCCAAGACACACCACGAAGGGGGGAAGACACTCCGAGCCCGCCGCGAACGCTTCGAGACAGGCCGCACCACACCACGCCCAGCAGGCCCTGCCGCAGGCACAGCCTCCACCGTTATATCCACACAGGCCACACCCGCACTGTCCGAAGAGTCCACAGAGGCCACATCACCCACACTGTCTACATCATCCACGGAAACAGCCTCAGAACACCGACGCGCGCGCTTCTGCAAAGGAATGGGAAGAGCAGAACTACAGGAGGCAACACACTCAGGCACGGCAGGCACCTCACCACGAAGCACCCCCTCCAAAACGGCAGAACCCGCGTCCCCGGGAGCCGGTAACACATCCACAGGCGGGGGCGGAACATGAACCTCCACCGGGACACCTTTCACTACACACAGCTCAGGCGACAGCCCGACACCCTCACACACCGGCGGAACAACCCCAGGGGCCACAGCTGGCACTAGACGTGTCGCACAGGCCGGAGAGCTCTCCTCAACAGGCAGAGCAGCAGACAGGCAGGCAGGCGCCTCAGGCACAGCACCTACACCGCCCGAACGCAACAGGGGCGGAAAATCCTCCGCACGAAGAACATGCACACGACCAGTCGCTCCCACGTCGCACGCAGCAGCCAGATGACCCTCGTGACCACACCGATAACAGGTGCGCGGTTGACCCCGATACTGGCAGCGGAGCGTGTATCCCAACACGGACATCGACGACGGTACACTACCCTTCAGCGACATCGTCAGGGTGCGGGAGCCGTCAAGCATACCAACACAGTGCCCGGCAACGACCTTGTTCCAACGAACACTCAACACTGTCCCAAACCGTTCGAAACAGGAGGTTAAAAGGTCGTCCTGAAATTCGAAGGGGGCACCATGCACCGTCACAGACGTCAAGGTGACACTAAGATTCACTACCTTAACTGAGCCAGCTGAATCAGGGAGAGGGTAAACACGCCCCTCACACCGCTCGAGAAACGCCTGAAAGGCAGCCTGGAGGCGGAACTTGACCACAGCACAGTGGCCCTGAAGCAGCTGGATGCCCACCAGGTCAGACAGCTGCACATGCAGCACGTCTACTAGGGCGACACCAACCAATGGATGGTCCACCGGCACCGTAAACGCCAGACCAGCTGACAGCGTCCTCTGCAATGGAGGGCGAAACGTCCCCATGGCGAAGCAAACGTCACCCCGTCAGTGGCAAACCACCACCAGCAGGGCAAACAAGCGATCACCCAACGTAAACACTAGCCAGTGCGGAGAGACCTCAGGAACGTCCGACCCGGCCGGCGGTCACCACGTAACTCCATCACCACCTCAACTGCCGGGTAAGACGCTGGGCATGTAAATTCTAAGCCAATGGTATCCCTCCGCTTCACAGGGGGGAGGGGGGCCGCCATCCCTCTAGCCGCCACGGCCCCAAGGGTCCGCTCACACATACAAACTACCACTGGCCAGCAAACCAGGAGCCCACAGGCGACACGTCCACCTCCGCCCAGAGCCAGGCGAACACTCCATGCTATATTAATTAATTATAGAACAAGATAATAAAGTAATAAGAATCAAGAGTAATGGCAGAATCCTAGTAAGATTCGTAACAAGGAACTAGTTTGCAATACTGTGAAAAATTTTCAACCAATATCGACAAGCAATATTGGGAACCATCAAGGGTTTGTTCCCTTTTTCTGTTTCTGCAAAATTTTTCTACAAATCCATTGATACTCGTTCCCCAAGGAGCATTAGTCGCTGGGTACAACTGAATTGAGCCAGGTCCTATGGCATGTCCCTAGTGCAGTAAGCAGGTTAAACATCTGTCAATGTAATGAGCAATCTCTTTAGCCATTTTTGGCCAAAAATACTTCATTCGACCATACTGGAATGAATGATCCTTCCCTGGATGTGCACTTGCAGGACCATCATGGATAATCTTTAACACAATTGGTCCCAAAATAGCTGGAACAACTAACTGACAACACCTCCTCAAGGGAGTCCCTAGCTTTACTACTCTACACAGTAAATTGTCTAACATCACTAACTCTTTCAATGGTATTGGGGGTTTGTGAATCTGACGAGTATCTTGCTTAGTCAAAAACCTAATGACAGATGCCCAAATGGGGTCTTGTCTCTGTTCCATCACGACTATTGTACCGTCTGATGCTGGGTAATTTAACTGAATTGCAGCTACGTGTCGAGAAAATTGTATCAGCTACAAAGTTTCGCTTTCCTGGAATATAACCAAATGTGGGATTGAACTCTTGAATTATGAGCAAATATCTAGCAAACTTTCCAACAGGATTTTTATTCTTGAACAAAGGAATTAATGGTTGGTGATCTGTAAGAACATGAACTGGGTAATTATAAATTGTATCCCTGAAATGTTTAAGAGTCCATACAACTGCTAAAGCTTCACATTCTGTTGTACTATAATTTTTCACTTCTTTAGACAATGCACGGCTCGCATAAGCTATTGCGTGATCTCTGTGACTCTCTGTTTGAAGTAATGCAGCGTCCAAGCTTACATCACAAGCATCTGTGACCAACGTAAAAGGTTTAGAAAAATCTGAATACCTAAGGACAGGATCAATGCTGCTTTGAGTTGAACAAGATCAATGCTGCTTTGAGCCTAGAATCTCTATGGCATTCAAATACTGGTCCAATCGATTGGTAAATGCATTATAGACGTAAATGCAAGCCACCGGCTTGCATGGTGGCATTAGCAAATGTCTTAACTAATCTATTTAGATCCAAATCTCCTTTTTTTAACAAACCGACGGCGGAAGAATTCTTTAAATTCTAGCCGTGACTGGAGGCTACTAATAGGATTTTCATCAACTACCACACGGGCATCACCAGTGATGGTGTAAATTAACGACCTAGCAATTGCTAAATAATCATCATCAGAAGGCTCTGAAAAACGAACTTTGTCCTTTGTTTCAACTTTGCTAAACCATGATTCTAATAAACAAGATTCTAACGTAAAAAATGGAGTAGCCATTTCCTGAGCTGAACGCTGGACATTATTACAAGCAACTGCTCCATTTGAGTCAGAAGAAGTTGCAACACTGGCAGGCATTGTCATTAAAGTGGAGTTTACTTTTGAACATAAATTATAATTAGGTACTCCAGGCATGAAATAGAATGTAAAAAAATAACAACACTCAAAAAATCAAACTTGGCAACTGCAAGTTATATTGCAGTTAGGTTGAAGAAAGTAATTGGAAAACAAGCAAAATTGTAAATTTAATTAGCAATCTGGAATGAATATGACTTGAAATTGGAGTTACGTAATTAATTGAACCAGGCAAAGCACAACAAATTATATTATAAAAAGACTGGATAGTGTAATTGCAATTTTCTAAATACATCAAACTGAACAAGGATATTCAACACACAAAATGTAATGCAGGAAATGGCAGTAAAAACACAAAACTCAGAACAGTTAATTGACTGGTGGAAATCATTCAAAGCTAATTGATCAAACAGATTAAGTGAGCTACTTGCAATATGTCAAGAAGTTAACAAAATTTGACTTTTTGTAAAAGTTTGAATCAAATGAACTGGTGAAAAGAATAAAAATTACTTTGCAATGTTATAACAACTGCTGTAATGAACTGGTAAAATACTATAAACACAGGGACTTTGAGGAACACTTAAATTGGTAACATGCCACAGTAACATTTAATGTAAAATGCTAAAAGAATAAGTTGCTCCTGAGCTACCGTGCAGTGAGGACGTGTCGCCTGCTCGCTCCGGTAGTTTGAGGTGGTTGCCGTTTTCGCCGGCAGGGGGTGTGGGTGTCTCTACCCTCCCTGCTGTTCCTGGTGGTGTGGACGTGGCGCTTTTACGATGGGCGGCCATCTTCCCCCTGTCGTGAGGGTAAACTCCATCGGTTTGGAGTTTACTGGCCGTGCTGGATACCCGCTGGTGGACGTGGTATTGAGTGCCATGCTTCGTGTCCCGGTTGGGGACGTATATGGCATTGAGCTGGTAACTGCTCACCGTGTTGTTGTCAAGTTTGTGGGTGAGGCGGTGTACCGTGCTTTCTTACGGAGGTACGAGGGACGTACTTTGCAGCTACAGGACGGCACCGGGTCTGTGACCATTTCAGACCGTAGTGGTGCTGTGACGTATGTCAGTGTTCATGGCGCCCCCATGGAGTTTCCTGAGACTCTCCTCCGGCGATTCTTCCAGAGGTACGGCTCCGTCATCAGTGTGCGGATGAACTCACTGTCGTCTGGCACGTATTCGGGTGTGAAGACCAACATTCGGACCCTCGGGATGCGACTGAGGTCGGACATACCGTGCTCTGTCCGGCTGTTGGGGTACTACGTGCGTGTGTTTTATGCCCGGCAACCCCGTACTTGCTTCCGGTGTGGCTTGTTGGGGCATCAGGCTGCCGGGTGTACTGCTGATCCGGTCGCTCCTGTGAACTTGTTCCGTGAGGAGGATTTCCCGCCGCTCCCTCTGGAGGAGGACTCCGGGGGTGAGGAGGTGAGCGTCCCGTTCGCTGCTGCGGCTCCCCCAGTGTCACCCGACGTTCCCCCGGTTGTTGCAGACCCTCCTCCGGGTGTTGCGGTGCCGTCGGATGTTCCTCCTGACCATGTCTCTGGCCCTGCTGTTCCCGTGGACCTTCCTGGTGATCCCTGTGGAGCGTCGCCGTCGGCTTCCTCGTCTTCGACTGTGGACCCTGGCCCTGCGTCCTCCCCTCGGGTTCCTCCTGTGCTGGGTGCTGGGGTGGCTGCGGTGCCTCCTGCTGTGTGTGGTCCGGTTCCCCCTGTGGTAGAGGCTGCTGCCGTTCTGCGACGGGCGTCGGTTCGCCCGGTTCGTGAGGCCCGTGGTTCTGGGTCCGCCTCCGGCTATGAGGATGTGCGGCCAGTGCCCAAGCGGTCCAGGCGTTCTTCTACTGCTTGGGCTGATGCGGAGGACTACGACGCAGGTGGAGCTTCGGGAGATGATGTGGCGCCTCCGGGTGCTTCGCGCTCTACGTCGCTGGTGGTGGCTGACGTCCATGTGTCTGCTGTTGACGATGTTTGTACCTATGATTTACCTCCTGTTCTTTCTCCTGCAGAAGGTTCTCCGCAGTGGGGGGTGGTCGCTCCTACTGACGTGGATGGTGAGAGTTCTGGTGCGCGCCGAGGCATCAAGCTGGTACTGAAGAAGGATGCCAAGCGTGGGGGGTCCCGGCAGGAACAACGTCCGGTGGTTGACGCGGAGCGCTGTGGGGCGGCCGAGGAGGCTCCCAGTGCGCTGCCCATTGCCCGGCCTCGTGGGAAGGAGCCTCTCCCTCTCGTCTTGGCCTCCGGAGTGGCGCATGATGCGCAGCATCCTTTGCGGTTTGACATTATTGACCGCGTGCATCCTGTTCCGTGGTGCCCTTCTTCCATCTGGGTACAGCGGGCTCGGTGTTTTGTTGTGGGTGTGCCGGAGTTGATGCCTGATCCTCGTACTGTTAATACTGTGCCTGTTCCGGATGACGTCATGTTACTGTGGGAGGCGTATTGTGTTCGGTTCCCGGCGGCGGAGTGGCCGGATAAGTATGAACAATTTGAGTAGTCTGTGTGCTTGCTGTGACCTGTGGTTTGTTTGCAATGTGTTGTACCTATTGTGCGCCCTTCAGGCCGGTGTTGTGTTTTTCATGACTGTTGTTTTGTTGTATTTATTGTATTTCCGTTACCCTTCTGTCCAGTATTGTTGTTTCTTTTTCCTGTGTTTCATTGTGTTTATGTTCATTGTTGTGATTTTGTTGTCGGCCCTTCAGGCCGGTATTTAGTGTATTTGTGTTACTTTGTGTTAATTTGCTTTGTGCTTTTGTATTTTTTTGTTGTCTGATTGTTTGTTATTGGTTTCTTATTTTATTATATTTATTGTATTGTATTTATTCGCATGTTCGCATGTAAAAAAAAAAAAAAAAAAAAGCTAACACCCCCCCCCCCTCCCCCCGTCTCCACACACCTCCACCCCCGTCTCCACACACCACCCTCCCCCGTCTCCACACACCACCCTCCCCCGTCTCCACACACCACCCTCCCCCGTCTCCACACACCACCCTCCCCCGTCTCCACACACCACCCTCCCCCGTCTCCACACACCACCCTCCCCCGTCTCCACACACCACCCTCCCCCGTCTCCACACACCACCCTCCCCCGTCTCCACACACCACCCTCCCCCGTCTCCACACACCACCCTCCCCCGTCTCCACACACCACCCTCCCCCGTCTCCACACACCACCCTCCCCCGTCTCCACACACCACCCTCCCCCGTCTCCACACACCACCCTCCCCCGTCTCCACACACCACCCTCCCCCGTCTCCACACACCACCCTCCCCCGTCTCCACACACCACCCTCCCCCGTCTCCACACACCACCCTCCCCCGTCTCCACACACCACCCTCCCCCGTCTCCACACACCACCCTCCCCCGTCTCCACACACCACCCTCCCCCGTCTCCACACACCACCCTCCCCCGTCTCCACACACCACCACCCTCCCCCGTCTCCACACACCACCCTCCCCCGTCTCCACACACCACCCTCCCCCGTCTCCACACACCACCCTCCCCCGTCTCCACACACCACCCTCCCCCGTCTCCACACACCACCCTCCCCCGTCTCCACCCTCCCCCCCCCGTCTCCACACACCACCCTCCCCCGTCTCCACACACCACCCTCCCCCGTCTCCACACACGACCCTCCCCCGTCTCCACACACCACCCTCCCCCCCGTCTCCACACACGACCCTCCCCCGTCTCCACACACCACCCTCCCCCGTCTCCACACACCACCCTCCCCCGTCTCCACACACGACCCTCCCCCGTCTCCACACACCACCCTCCCCCGTCTCCACACACCTCCCTCCCCCGTCTCCACACACCACTCTCCCCCGTCTCCACACACCACTCTCCCCCGTCTCCACACACCACCCTCCCCCGTCTCCACACACCACCCTCCCCTGTCTCCACACACCACCCTCCCCCGTCTCCACACACCACCCTCCCCCGTCTCCACACACCACCCTCCCCCGTCTCCACACACCACCCTCCCCCGTCTCCACACACCACCCTCCCCCGTCTCCACACACCACCCTCCCCCGTCTCCACAGTCTCTGTAACCAATTTCCCCCAAACATGATCTCAATAAACATACAGTAGTCCTTAAAAAAATAACGACAGCACTATTCATCATCAATATGCAAATGATGACGTGTATGAACGCGTTCCTGAACATTTTACATCCACAAATGTTGGGAAGAAGACGAGTCCTCTCTCTCGAGTTGGACTGGCCCGACCCCTTTCTTGTCTCTCTCCCAATACCCTCATTATTAATCCTGCCAAGTTTAGTGAGACTAGCCATAAGCGTCCAGCCTCCAGCTGCCATTCTCTCTAACATATGTATATTGAATTACTGTCATAGAGAGATGGCTATTTGATCAGTCTAAGTCCTGTAGACGTCTGACTCTTGTTACATGGTGTGTGTGTTCCACTTAAGGATGATCGAGCTGAGGTGATGTTGATGCTGAACTGGTAACACTGTTCAGGGGTTTAAAAATCTATTAATACACTTATGTAGTTTTAGATCTGTGATCGTATAATCTGATGCAGGCTTCATAATTAACTTTTCAAGCAAAATGTTTCTTAATATATATATCAGGCTATGCTATTTGTAATAATATTGTGAGGGGCCAATGAAAGACGCAAATAATGTTGAAAACTTTATTATAATATAAATTGTAATATATTGTTACAGTTAATAAAAAAATACAGTTAATCATTACAATGTAACGATGCCACTACTTGCATAGTTAACTTATCGAGAAGGAATTAGCTTTGATCTATCAATAAACCATGTTATATAATGAGCTCACTACAAGGACATATCACGCCACTGAAAAATAATTCCCTCAATGCTGCAAGACGGGCGACATAATTTTGTTAAAACATTATTAATTATATTATTAACTATAAATTCATTGAGACAGCGATCATTCCAGGTGACACCTGCCACAGACCGGAGGAAGAGACAGGAGTGACGTGTATGGTTCGTCAGTGATAGAGGGAAGGGAACTTTAATGAGAAAGCACCAAGCCATTACAACTATACAGCACTTGGAAGGGGTCAGGATAAGGATTTGGGATGGGACAGGGGAAAAGGAATGGTGCCCAACCACTTGGAGGGATACAGGATGACAGATTGAACGTTGACCTGCATGAAGCGAGACCTTTGCTCTACCGTCCAGCCCAAGTGGTTGGACAGTGGTTAAGGGAGTTAAGGGGGTACCTAACCAAGAGAAAGGAGAGCAGTTCTAAGAGGAGACACTCCGCCGTGATGAGAACACTCCCATGGGGGCAGTACTGGAAAATAATTTATAAGGAGGATAGAGCAGTCCGTCCTCCTAAGGTTTCCCAACGTCAAGAAACTGTCATACTGAGGTGCCCTTATCCTAACCTACCTGACGACTCAAAACAGAAAACGGAACAGTATGTCAATTTCGCGAGCCGCTATCATTTTCTAGTACGACAATTTTTGGCCTCAGGTGGAGTATAGGTCATAATGTGACGC